TCTTAACATTCATGAGGTACTTTGCATTGACTGTTTATGGTTGAGTGTGGGCGTGTAGAGGGTAGAACCTGAGGCAAACTCTGATGTGCGGCTGTGATCTATAAAGGGAAGATGCGCAGAAACTTGTGTACGCACGGTTTTATAAATCTGAATTTTTTTTTGGCGTACACCATTTCCACCTTTTGGCCGTACATTCACTTTTAGTATGGCTTCCACGCAATCCTTTATAAATGAGACCCCAGCTCTTTAAACCCCTGACATCTGCTTATGGGCCATCAACCAGGGCCTAGTTTGAAGAGGTGATAATGTCGCCTCTCTCCTTGTTTCAGTTTTTAACTCCAGACTCTTTGGCTACATCCCTCCTAAAGTGTCAGAACTGTCACATCCTGATCAACTCATGTTCTGGAACCTTCAAGACCGTTTTCTCTCAGAGGACTGTTTCTCCTTCCAGAAGAGCCATAAAAAGTCCTTTCTCTAGCCGTGTTTCCATCAATGTTTTTTAATTTGCATTTTGAAGTATCGTATCAGAAAAGGTGGATGGAAACGGCACAATTCAAAAAACTTCCTCTAATTCTCAAAAAAAGTTTATACGATGTTGCTGTCACTGTGCTTACCTATAAAATTAACCATTTAAAGGTGTATACAATAAACTCTTGAGGTCATCAAGTTTATTAGTAACACTAAATAATCAGGAGTGAGTGACAGATTGAATGATCGCTTTTCTCATTGCTTTATGTCCCTGTGATGGACTGGAGACATGTCCAGGTGTCCCTGTGATGAACCGAATATCTCTTCAGGTGTCCCTGTGATGGACTGAAGACCTCTCTATGTGTCCCTGTGATGGACTGAAAACATCTCTATGTGTCCCTGTGATGGACTGAAGACCTCTCCAGGTGTCCCTGTGATACGCTGAAGACATGTCTAGGTGTCCCTGTGATGGACCGGAGACCTGTCCAGGTATCTCTGCGATGGACTGAAAACCTGTCCACATATTTACAGTTGGTCAGGTTCCCTCTGAGTCTGGTATCCCCCTCACATCAGTTATTGATGTGCCAGATAGAGTCTTTGGGTTGGGGTCCGAGGGTTAGTTCAGGGAGCAGGGTTACAGGTTTGCTTTAGGTAGGGATGTCAGGGGTTGGATGTTTAGGGCTAACAGAAGTTAGGTTAAGGTTTTGGGGTCATGTTAAGGTCAGGATTGCAGTTAGTTGTTGATGACAACAGGCCCATCCTCCTTGTTTCCATCTCTTCAAAGACTAACATGAGAGGGGTCCCAAACATGTCCAAACCTTCAGAGGGAACCTTCTATGAGGCAAATTGGGAGTGTTGAATATTTACACAAAACCTCAATGCAAAATGTGCGGAACATCCTTTTAAAGTGTTCTTCTATTCCACACATTGTGCATCGTCCAGCACCAAACACACACAACAAGTCCAGTGTAGCAGCTGAGYGTCTGCAGGGCAGGCTGGTGGGAGTGGAGAGCTCTAACGGTTAGAGTGCTGCAGCAGGTCCAGATGTTGGAGCACACCGCAGACTGCCGGTGGAGGACTGGAGGTTACGTGTTGCTGCGTCTGTTCCACCAGATGTTCAGCTCGGGAATACATTTAAAAAACAAGAGCTTGTGAGCTGATGTCAGTGTGAACACAGAGCTGCTGTCCACAACACAGACTGCTTCAGCATCATCTTCCTCAGAGCTTGGCTGAAGACAGCTGAAAGCTACAGCGTGAAGGTTCTGCTGCTGTCTCCAGTCCTGTAAACACCTCAGGTCCTGGTTTCTGACTAAAAGCCTGCAGATCACTGCTGTGCACAGCTGATGGACTCACTCACATCATATCAGTTATCATGAAGGTGGATGGATTACAATATGAAGCTGGAGCTGGATACAATAAGAAAATAAGTCCAACCCAGTTTTCAGTCAAAGTTTTTTTTGTATCAGGACATCAGAAAATGATCTGGTTTACACCAGGTTTTAAAATGATTTAAATCAAATTAACAAAAACACAGTAGACTCCACCGTGRCTTTATTTCTGTAACAGAAACCCTYATCCAGCAGCTTGTAGAACCTGTTTGAGTAGTCAGAACTGTAGGGCTTTATCAGTTCCTTTCACGTGGAGGAATTTTGACATATTTCTTCGTAACATTTTAGTTTATTGAGGCTTCTGCTCAGCTCTCTGAAGGTCCACCACAGCATTGGTCTCATGTCTACAAAAGACACTGGTCCTTTGACATTTTGTTTCCCTAAGCAGTGCACGGTCTGACGTTKAGGGAGAACTTGCTGGGACTGTAGCTGTCTTACTTTATTCACAAGTGTCAAATATTTTTCTTTCTATAAAATGATGGATTCTAAATTTGTGATGGGGTTATGATCTATCTTTTTGATTAAACTTGATGCAGATACAAAC